TTTTTCAAAATCATTATGTAAGTAAAATTATTTGTCAAGTTTATAAATCTTTTAAGGTACATAAATTTATTTTCACTAGAAAAGCATCGGCCGTGAAAGAAATAAAGAAAATAGAGCAAAATCCATTATAATATAGTATTAAAATTAAGTTGTTAAACGTGCTAAGTTGAAGCATTAAGGATGTAACATAAGACAAAAGGTATTCAAAAGAAGTGTCATTATAATTTTTTTTCTTTTTATATTCATTCCAGTAAATGATAATTCTCTATATTTTCAATATAGTATTATATATTTTTGTAGTTCAATATTAGTTACTTAAAACTTTTATTGTTATTTTTAAATTTTTTCTATGAGGAGTTCTACATCGTCACTCACGAATTTCTAAAATACCAAAAGATTCAAATTCTTCAATTTGTTTTGTTATCTTTGAATAATTGTGGTTAAAGTATTTTTATGTTATTTTCTTATAGTATTTGGTAACAAATATAATAATAATTTTCAAAAGATATTTCAAGCCTCATAAATCATAACTAGGGCATATAAAAACTTATGTGGAGTAGAATTTTTTTTGTTTTATTGAGCTAACTTAGTGAGATTAACATTCGTTATTTTAGGAACTTATATATTTTTCTTTAATATATGTTCAATAATGGAAAATACATTATTTAATAATATTTACTTAACTTTTAAAATTTATATGTCCATTGACACGCGTAGGTACACGCGCAAAACGCGTACCCTAATACTAGTATTGTATAAAGTTTAAGATTTGGAGAATGTGTACTACGTTCTATTGATTTTTGAATAATTTTGGTTTATAACAGTTAAGTAAATATTTAAACATAAAAAATGCTATATGTGTGTAATAGCCAATTGATATAAAAATACAAAAATAACGAAATAAAATGCTAGTATTATATAAGGTGACTATTATAGAGGTCGGATGGTACAACCTTGAACTAAATATCTCTTATTTGCAATAATCTACCGGTTTTTATTCGCTTTTGAATTTTCGAATCAATTGAATGAGAAAAAAATCAATAGAATGTAAGTAACTGCGAATATTATTAGTATAACATTAAGCAAAGAAACATACAACTAACAATTGTAATCTAGAACTGTGGAAAACCCGCTAACAAAAGTTAATTAGTACAAAATTACTGTCTAGCTATGTCTTCCAAATTATGACGAGCTCGATCGATCTGTGCAGTTTAATAAACCATGCCTAGAAACAGAGAAGTAGCAAGAAGCAACATGCTCATGGGTGACCATTTGGATGAATTATAAGCACTGCTTTTAGGCTTGTTAGGTTGAAAACCAGGAAGCCAAGGATCGCCATTATTAGGAGGAGTAAAGGTAGACGACGACCTCGCCGGAGGAGAAGAGCCGGAGCTAGAATTTCGTGGAGCAGCAGGAGGAGTAAATGGAGTTGAGATTTTGATGTGAAATTTGAGTCCAGAAGCACAATGACCTGGAAACCCACACAAAAAGAAGTAATCGCCGGGTGTTTCCAGGGTAAGTGTGTCGCTGCCGGTGTTGTATATTACTATTGGATGGTTATCTGTGCATGCGTTGTAGTCGTTGCTGTCCACTTGCATCACATTATGTAACCGTGGGTTGTAATTGAATACTGCATTTCACACCATTCACATGTAAGTAAACCAAAAACAATGGCAAAAAATACAAAATTGTCACTAGCTAAAAATTGTATATACTATATGTACATAATACATATATATACATACAAAATTGGCATTGCAAAAATCAAACAATATAAAAAAAAGCTTATGATTTCTTTATTTGTCATAATTAAAAATATAAATTAACAAAATTGGCCGTTTAAACTGATTAATTGGCCTCTACTTTTCACATTATTGTTTTAAGCCCTAAATGATGACTTTTAATGTATACGTTTGCTCTATTCCAACTGCTGCCCTATTTGTTTAAATTTCAATTTTTCCTACATAATTAAGTTTCCTTTGCTTTAAACTAATCGTCTTGCAATTAATTTGAGAGCTAAAACTTGCTATTTTCAAATAACACAATACTACAAAAAGAACTATTGAGCAAATTTTAATGTCTAGGAAATTGAGGGTGCCGGCCAAAAGAATGAGTACATATACTATAACCAAGGTAATAGCTAAGATTAAAGTAAATTATAAGTATTAAAAAGAACAAGAGGAAAACGAAGATCTTACCAAGAGAATCACCAAGTTTAAATTTTTTGGAAGAAACCCATTGATTGTAATCAACGTTGAAATCCCATCCTGCAGAATCACCAACTTCATACACCTCAGCCATAGTTGATCCTATGATAGTCATTATAACCACCAACAAAAACATCATTGCCTTTCTGAATAAAGCCATATAATTGGTAGTAAATTTTTGTATATATTTCAATGCTATATATTGCTAACAAAGAATTAAACTCTGAATCTGAATATTAATGATTTGAGTGAATGAGGATCCGATTTGAGGCTTTTATAGACGTAGTTAATGGTCTCCGATCCTTGCTAGGACTATGAATTTAAGGAAAACATGCATGCTAGTTTAGGAAAATTAATTTCCAATTACTCCACTCATGATTTCCAGTGAAACTAAGGTAACTAAACACATTGTCGGAAAAGGAAAAGGAATCTCTAAAAAGTAATTACCATAAATGTTTCTGGAATTCACATAGCTGCAGCATGGTACGTGATTTTGTCCCCTAAGTTTTTCCTTATCGTCAAAAGTCTCAAAATATTGCCATTCTTTTTTTTTTAATTACCGTGGTTGACCAAAACAATACATACAAGGGTTAAAATAGCCAAGTGCCTTATGATAAAATTATGAACAAACCCTATTAATTTTAGAAAAATTAACTTAAATAGCTGCTCGTCCGAAAAAATAGTCGGCAAATATATATAGTATGCATAATTAGTATACAATATTATATTGGCTAGGGATTATAAATATTTTTGTCCGAATAGCCAAATATATAACTTCCCCTTTTAGAGAAATTAACTTAATTTTATGAGGAAAAATAAAATTCTAATTAAGTGATTCTTTAAATGCAAAATCCCATTGCTAAAGAGTCAATATAATACGATGTTTATATATTTGGCTACTAGGCCACTTTTTTATTTTTATGATATGCTGTTTGATAAAAAAATTGTGATCTATAATTTTTTATTTCTTTTTCTTTTTGAATTCGGGATTGCGATTTACATTTGACCTATTTGTAGGCATTTAAAATTGAGGTTTTTTTTATCTATACCATATATAAAACTTTATTACCAAAAATGTGCATAGTATGTAAATTACCCGCGCAGTCCACGTTTTACCTACAATTTTTGTACCATTCGTCTATTAGGTATTAAAAGGGCAGAATATTCCCTAAAAAATGAGCTAAAATTAAGGAGAGAATCTTGGTATTAATTGATTCTACATTAAATTCAATTTTTAAAAGGGAAAGGAGATTTCTCATCTGCGTATTTTTTCCAGAACTACAATTCAAATTCTACGAAAAAAAAAGAA